TGATGTGTTCCAAACCTTCTGACATAAGGAGTAAGTTTGATTTCTATAGCTGTGCTGAAATGTGAGAACAGAAAGTAGGTGTTTGCATCTGAGAGAGGCAAGCAGGGAAGAGGTACAGGGAAAAAGTTTGAGTTGTAGGAAAGTCATGCATTGGAAAGAAACAGTTAAAGGAAGAGAAAAGGGCCATAACTTTCAAGATGGCTTTGACAGCTCTGACTTACAGGTGAGGGTTGAATGTGAAGCATCTCCACAGGACAGGTGTTGTCTCAGCTTGATTTTACAGCTTTGTCAAGTGTCTAGCAGATAGGAAATATCTTTGCAACTGAAGTGAGAACCTGAAGCTGCTAAGAAGTTAGTGGCAGGAAAAAAAACAGTAAGTACTTCTTACTAGTAATAAGTAATAGTCAAAAATTACTGCTTATTACTGTAGTTAGTGGTTTTCTCAGTAGCAGAACTGGGATGAGAGGACAGCTGTAATCAGCTGATGTCCTGCTCTGGCTCTAGGCCGTGTTAGGTGGATTTAAGAGCACTTGGTGTGAGCTCTGCTTGTAGATTTTTCTGGTTATAAGAGATAAACACACGAGTGCCCATTCCCCTCTGCTCCCTCTACACTTACCCTCTAGTAGTGCTCTGCCACTGTGCTTCCCTGTCCTTTCTAGTCAGCTCTTATTTCCCATTTTGTTGGCTGTTGTAGAAATGATAGTGTTGGAAGGGAAATTACACCCATAACCAGTTTCTAGACCAGCTGAAGTATTTTAAGATGGTTCAAAAAGCTAAGTTCTTGGTTATTTTTTTTCCCTGCAGGTAAGTGCTGTGCATGCTTCAAGGAGACTGTGTAATTAGCTGTTTTCTCCTCACTGAGGAGTGCTGCTGCCTGAACAAGTGAGAGGAAAGAACTCAACTCAATAGTAATTAGGGCAAAATGTCTTTTCTTGGTATTTGTAAGAGCCACATTGGGCATATTGAAGTGCAGGTCAGAAGTTTTAAGAGCTGACACTGATTATAGCTCACTTGGGTTTTTCACTGCTCTGTATTTCTGTGGGCTGTGGGGCTTGATCTTGCTTATTATCGTTTTAGCTTCAAATTATAGTATTCCTTTTTTTTTGTGTTTTATTTGAGTTAGCAATACAGCTATGCAGAAATAAACTGAACTGGGCAACATCGGAGTTTTCAGCAATGTCCAAGAAGGCAGGTGTGTGTTTGTGGGTTTAGATAATTGCTTTAAACAAGCTTTAGATATCTCTGTGTGAGAAGCAGTTTTCCATATGCCTTTTTTTCCCCCCTTGTAAGGACACATTCAAGGGGGTGCCACCAGCAGGGAGCACTTGCTAACTTTTCTGAACATGAGCTGTGAGTTGCTGTTAGCTACAGCTGTGAACTCAGTGGTAGGTTCTGCCTGTACCAGACTGAAGGTGAGAAAGAGTCAAGAAGTTTGGGTGAGTTTGGAGCATCAAGGTGTGCAAGTGGAAGTTCTCTAAATCCTGTTGATGTGTGTGACCTCTCTGCCTGCCTCCTGGGAGTGCTGTCTCAGCAACACAAGGCTGAGGCTTTAACATAAACGTTGGCATGTGTTGCTACTCTGGGTTGTGAAATGTTTAGCAAGTGTATGCTCAGGAGTTTGCAAGTATGTATCAGCTTCTGCCTGCCAAGGTGTAATTCCAGTCAGGAAAGAAAATAGACCTGACTTACTGCACAACTTTATAATAAAAGGAGAAAATTTGTTTTTCTTAGAATGTAAAGGCATTTTGTGCTGGTCCTCTCACCAGGTGTCTTTCCCCTTGTCTGGAGAGTATCTGAAAGGGAATCCTCTAATCAGAGGATTTTCTCCTGTCCAACAGTGTAACTGCTTAGTTTTCCCAGGCCCTGTATTAGCCTCCTAATTAGTGGGTGACTGAGGCTCTTTAGAACCAGTTACTCTCTGCTTTGCTCCCTGGGTGGAGTGGACCTTTCCCTAGCCTATCTCTTCATCCCTGAGCTCTGGCACAGGTAAGAAGATATGGAAGAGGAGGTGTTGCACACTGGTCTGGGGAGGTGCACCTTCCAAACTCAGCTGTGGGAAGGGCTGTGTGCCTCCTGGACTTGCTGGATCATGGGTTTTTCAAACCAGTGCTTTCCTCCGGAGGTTACCTGTTAATCCAGGCATGGGCTGAGTGTAGTTGTTCCCATGTTTGTGATCTGGCAAACTCTTCTAGGAAGGAATACTACAGATTGACCCTGAAGGTCACAGACTGAAAACACAGAGAGCTGTTTGCATACTGTGTACAAGGACTGTCTTACTATCTGTTGTTATATTAGAGCTCCATACTGAGTAGATAGTAACAGCAGTGATGAACTTTCCATGGGGGAAGGGCAGAGTCTGCAGAAAGTCCTGCTCTCTATTTAGACCACAGAGAAGCTGAATAGGAGGGAGAAACTGTGCTGGGTCTTATTTGCTGTTGAAATGTGTTTACATTTCCTAGTGACCACTTGAGCCAGGTGTTTGGGGAGCAGCAGGGTGATACAGCACTCTTGAGAGGTGCCTGGAAAGCAGCTGGCAAAACTCAGAGGCATGAACTTGGTTAAAATGATTTGAAAAATGAGGAGTGCCTTGCAGAGAAAGAGTGGTAAGCCTTTGTAGTGCTGGATAAAAACCTGTTGTATCAGATGCTGATGACTGTTTCTTAGAGATCAGTGATCATTTTGGCTTGCTGAAATATTCTGCATCCTTTTAACCTGGCACTGCTGCTGAAGACAAATAGAAAACAAGAGCTACCATGCAGAGCAAACTTGATTTCACCATACCTTTTCAGAGTTGCAGTGTATACTACAAGCTGTAGTATGTCTCAAGTCCATCACTCCACTGCTTTCTTAACCTTCCCTCTGTGTTAGATTAACTTCAAACAACTGGTGCATAGCAACTTTCATGTGTTGCAGCCAGCTTGGCTTCAGTAAGTATTAAAAGACATCAATCTTGTTTCCACTTGTAAATCAGTGAGCATTTGGGGGGAAACAGTCCTTAATGGAAACTTCAGGCTCCGTTAACGATGACCCTGGTACTGAATAGCTACATTTGCTGCTTCTGATTGCTTTTTCTCAACTATTTTGGCTCTGTCGCTTCTGCAATCTAACTGGTATGAAGAAGAATAACTTTGGGAACAGTGGTCTTGGGTGGCTGTGGTGTTAGGAGGTAATTTTCCTATTTCAGCTCTAATTTGTGATGTTCTGCTGCAGACAGAGGAGCATTATGGCCTTGTTGATTGCTGCAGGGCATCAGGAGTGTGCTGGAAGAAACACATCTGGCCCTGTGGGGAATAGCAGGATACATAGAGTGTACACATAAGTTATACAGCCTGACTAGGAGAAAGCAAAGAAGTAAAGCTGTTCATCACCAGTGAGGAGAAACAGCCTCTGACACTCATATTAACCATAAGTCTTTGACTTCCTCTTTTAAAGGCCAGGTAATAGAATGCAAAGATGCCTAATTCTCCTCCTGTGTTGGCTGTGTTTGGTCATAATTTATTCTGACTAAACAGTGCCTTGAAACTAAGTAACTTCTAACTTGGAAACAGTCACCTGAACTCCTGAAGTTGGTGCTACTCAATACAAGTGATGTGCAGAAAAGGTTCTGTCAGGCTGGAAGAGGGACAGGTGTGTGGTAATTATTTTGGGGGCTTCTTTTGAGGTGGCTCAGTGGGCTCAGAGAGTAGCATTCTGGTTTGATTTGTTTGCCTTTACATTGTGTTTCTACAGGTGATTTGGTGAGATATTTAAGACAACCTAGTTTGTGTACTAGGCTGAACAAACCTTTCAGGACATCTGTGTCCAGTTTGGTGGTTCAAAGGGGGTTTGCATTGGCCACAGCTTCCCCTCTATGAGCTTAATAAGTAATTAAGAGGTGTTTCCTCCCTCCTAATTTTGTGAAATTTGTTTCCCAACAGGGTAACTAATGTTAGTGTCCTCTGACATGGATCACAGAATGGGGGAGTAACTTTTATGGGGCCCTAACAAGGGCAGAAACTGAGGTGTCCCCCTCTGCTGCTCAGACAAGCATTGCTTATTTCACTCGGACCTGGGTTTTGATCTTGGATGCAAAAATGCTTGTGCTTTTCAGAAGTTGTTAACAGTTTATTAATAACTCATTCAGTGGGAACTGCCTTGTTGGCAGCAGGTGGGAGGAGGTTGTTTCTGAAGAAAACAAATGCTGGTGAAAACTTCCCTGAACTGAGATTGGTGTGGACTCGTGGGAGTGAGAGGAGAGCATTTGGACCTCTGTAAGGGTTTGAAAGCAAGGTGAAGCTCGTGACACAGTTGATCTGAGTTACATGCAGAGTTGTGATGTTGTTGTCCGTGGCATCTCACTGAATAGCTGCCCAAAGACCTGAAGATGACCTTCCCCATCTTCTCCTTTGACTTTGTACCACCTGCTTGCCTGTTGGTTTCATCCTGCAGCCTCAGCCCAGGCAGGCACACCCCCTCCTTGGCACCTTCTCTTGCTTATTAGTCCTTGTTCTCATGACTTCACTGCTATCTCTGCTCTGCCTCCTTGAATCACTTGTTTTAAATTATAGATAGCTATTGGCTTAAAAAAAGGAAGGGGAAACTAATTTTGGTGTCATTTATAAATACATTATGTCGGTTCATGTAAAAATATCAGGTTTTTTTACATTTTGTTTCAGACCTAGTGCAGATGGTTGGGAGGTTCTTCTGCAGCCTTGCTTGTTGAAGCTACTCTGCCTTAGTTTGGGTAGTTTGCAGCTGTTAAAAAGCTTCCAGAGTGAACACTTACCTGGTTTCTAATTGAAGCAAACTGCTGGAACATTCAGAGTTCAAAGAACTGTTGATTGCCCTTTTGATCTTTATACTCCCTGGTTGCTGTTGCACTGGTGTATCCTTTCATTTCACATATAGAAACTATTACCTTAGGTAATAATTAGGTGACTCCTTTGAATTAATAACACTTTGCTTCCTTTTTCTAACATGAAAAGACATCTTTGTGATTCTTGGTTATGTTTTGTTTGCAGCCCCATCTGTTTTGATATGATTGAAGAAGCCTACATGACCAAATGTGGACACAGCTTCTGGTAAGCTTTGGGGCTGTGCATTGCACAATGTCCATCTCTTACAGCATGGGCACACAGATGTTGCTGTGAATCCCTTTCCTTCTCAGTTTTTCTCTCTTCTGTCCCTCCACTGAAGAAAGAGGTTGAAATCAAATTTTACAAGATGGCTAGATTAAAAAAAGTCCAAGTGTTTGAACCAAAAAATGATCATAAATGCCGATGGCATCCAGTCCCCAGAGTCAGAACAGTTTGTCAGCCTATATAGGTCCTATATAAGCATCTTATAGGTCCTGCCTTGGTAGAGATGTTGGCAGGTCCTTCTTGCCTCTGTGCAAGAACACACAGTTTGAAGTGGGTTGTACTTTGTATATTGTATTTAAACTTCTTAGGAGAGGATATGCTTCAGGCTTTTCTGTTGTATTGACTTGGCTCAGCTCCACTTATTTTTCAGTGTGTTATCTCTGGCTGCCATGAGGAGCAAATGTTTCATGGAGAAGTGCAAGAATCCCCCAGGGGCAGGTGTGGAACTACCTGTTGCTCCTTCTTTCAGCTAGGGATTGGTACAAATGTTGAACCACGATGTCTTAATGTCCTCTCTGTATCATGCTCTTATAGTGTCTGCTAACTAGAAATAAACCTTAGAAGATGTAATGTTATAGTAGCATAAAGGACTTCCTCAAGGAGCACATTCAGATAACTTTCAGAAAAGTTTGACCTGCAACAGGTAAGGTGACAGCTGATTTTGTGCCCTCTATGGTCACACTTTACCTCTGTGATCCATAACCTTTTAGGGGTCCAAGATGAGGAACATTCACATGTCTTTGTTTAGAAGGAATGGAGCAATGTTGGCATCTGATGTCTCTGCCAGCAGCTGACATCAAGCAGGTTCTTAGTGAGGTGCTTAAATCTGTTGCTAAAGTGCTTCTTGTTGTTCCTTTGTCCCTCAAATAGCTCAACAGGGAACACCTCTGAAGTCACTGCTGGTGACAACAGCTGCCAGGGGTGGGGGAAAACTGAGAAGCTGCTGAAGGTTTTTCTCTGCTCAATTACCTAAACTGCTTTTAATGTTCCTTATTAAGGATTTGGCTAATCCAGAAGAGTTGCTGCACTCCGATTGTTAGCTCTACCTGTGGCAGGGGCGCATGAATTTGAGAGTGAAGAGTGGCTGAAGTATCCACATTGTGACAATCCTCAGGGAAAGGAGTGAAGTACTTCAATACCTTTTGTAATCCTTGCCAAGAAACTTTGTTGTCATTATGCTGTAGCACACTCGGAGTTAATATTGGAACGTTTTGCCTCCACTGTAGGTTCTTGGCAGCACAGCTGTTAGCTGGCAACACACAGTACACATTAGCTAAGGCTGATATTATTTACCTTGTGCTTGTTTTGTTCCTTCATGTTTGCTCACTTGTTTTGCTTCTTGTGTCTTTCATGTTTTTAAACAGCTATAAATGTATTCACCAGAGTTTGGAGGACAATAACAGATGTCCCAAATGCAACTATGTCGTGGACAACATAGATCATCTTTATCCCAACTTCCTAGGTGAGCTCTAGGCTTGCTTGCATGAGAAACATCTTAGTTGTCAAGGAAGGAAGGTGCTTGGAAATCTGTCCTGCAAATAACTGGCATGTGGATGTTGACAAGAGCCAAACATCAGCCCTTTGGTTAATTGTGATTTTTGTATAACAATGAGGTTAGTAATATACATTAACACTGCACTGCCTGCAGCAGTTCTGTCTGCTGAGTTACAGCAGTGAGACTGACTTGCTGCTGTTTCCATTCTAAGAAAAGCAAAACAAAGATGTTTTTCTGATTGTTAGAGATGTGAAGCTCTTTACTTCTGTTTTCTCACACTCTGCCTAATAATCAAGCCCATGCCTTGTTTATATGGGCTGAATTAGATACTGTGCTGTTTTGGCTGCTGGAGTGAGAACCATGTGATGTATGTAGGTGTAAATTAAACACAGCCAAAATATTCATACACATACCTATACACAATCCTAATTGATTGCTCCTTACAAAGGAGGGAAGTGTTTCTAGCTGAAAATAGAGTTTAAAACTTTGCTTTTGTTGATAAAAGATCAAAGGAAACACGTTGCAGTGTGAAATACTAAACCAAAGCAAATCTTGATTTCATGTACTGAGATAACCATTGAATAGGAAATAGATTTAAAGCCACAGTGGTGAAGGAATGCCTCAGAAATGGTTTAGGCCCAATCATATGATGCTGAAGGTGGTGCTGAGGCAGGTCTTGGAGGATGACTTGGTTCAAAAAGTGTTGCCTTTATACCTCTGCAATCAGAGGTTTGAGGTCTGTGTTGGAGAAGAGCTTGTACAGGTGCATGCAAAGGGTCGAGGTTATCTTACTGTCTTTGCACCATTCACTAAATTGGTGTGAAATAAAGCCAAATGTACCTTTAAAAATGCCTGTGTTAACTAATGGAAAAAGTTATTTTGTTCAGCTGTGCTTGGGTTTAGCCTATAATAAATAAGTTAGTTTTATCTCCTTCATATTCCTCTGATATACTTCTGCCTTGGAGATGAAAAACTTCCTCAGAGAACCATGGGTGCTTGGGAAAAGGAACCAAAGCAATTTGAGGAATGCATAGGCTTTATATTTGTTGATTTTTTTTAAAAAAAGATTTATATACATTCCACAACACCAAGGAATAATTGATAAGGAAAAAAGTAGAGACGTCTAGTGTTTTAATTCCTGACAAACACCTTCCTGTGGAATTAATAACTAAAGTATTGAGGTGGAATCTTTCCTACTTGTTTTGTGAACTTTCAATCTGTTTCCTCTCTGGCATATTTATGTTTTTTAGTCAATGAACTTATTCTTAAACAGAAGCAAAGATCTGAGGAGAAGAGACTCAAACTGGACCATTCAGTGAGTAGCACCGTATGTTCCAACTTTTTTTACTTCATATTTATTTAATGCTTTTGTACAACAATTGTGTCATGATGTGGCTTAATTGAAAACAAATTGCACTGTTCAGCTGATGTTTTAACTGGCTTCAGGAGGGAATAATACCAATATCAGTGGTAGTAGATCCCCTCAACCTTGTTAACTCTTGTTCTTCCTGCCAGCAATATGTGTGTAGAGGGTGAGCTGTGTTAGGACAGCCAGTGTGATGTATTGCATATAATCTGGGGGGCTACCATGGACGAACACTTGTTTAAAGGTAACAATTTTCATGCAGTGTTAGGAATTACCATTACAATGAGAGCAGTGAATGATTAGAAGTGCCACAGGCTTGTCTGAGAGCAGCTGTGTTCAACAGGGAAACTGCAGAAAGGCTAATATCAACCACAAGAGGGAGAAAGATGCTCTTGGAGTTGGTGTTGTGGCTCAAATTCCAGCTAAAACTGCCTGGGTATCTTTTAGAGTTGCTTCATGTCGCAGAATCAGAGCAGGATCTGTGTTCAGTCGATGAGAACCTCTTTAAAGCACCAGTGGATGCTCTTGTCCATTAAGATCCAAACCAATATATGCCATTAGCCAAGAAACTTGCATGTTTGTCCTGTGCCTGGCATCCTTGTCTTCTGTAATTCATAAATAAGCTTGCAGAGTAATGTTAAAAATCCTGGAGCCCCTGGTTTTAAAAACCTCTGTGGAAGTGGGGTTAATTTAGGGGCTCTGTTGCAGAAGGCAATGCTCTGTGTCAGATTCTTTAGAAAAGAGCATTAATAAAGGATTCATTGGTTTACTCACAGTAAGTTTTGCTATTCATTATGAAATATGCATATCCCATATTTAATATCAAATATACATGAACCAGACATGGTTTAAAGTGCACACAGTTAACCTGAAGGCATGTACAGCAGCTCCTTGGAAATTGCTTTTACCCTTCACAGTGCTCCTTTAATAGCTATGCCTGTAGATGCATCTAGTTTAGATAACTACCAGTAAGTGGATATCTACCATGACTCCATGCCCAAACCAGAGTTGTTTCTACCTTTTGATAGCCAATTAAAATGAGACATCTAGAAGAAAGAGTAATGTTGCTGTTGTAGCTCCTTCATGTGCCTTGTATTACTTTTGGTGTTAAGTCATCACACGTTGCAGCGAATCATAGAATTTAGGGGTTGGAATGGACCTTACAGATCATCTAGGCCCAACCTTCCCTGCCCTGGGCAGGGACAGCTCCTCACTAGATCAAATGTACCATTTCATGGTTGTGGTCTCATTAAGCAATCATGTTAAGGCATCTTTGAAGCTTTCCCTGTAGTTTAGCAGTAGTACAATTAAATAGTGGATTACTATGTTAACATTTGTCTCAAATCCTGTTTACTTAAAAAGCATGGGGTTTTCCAGTTATTCCAGCTTGAAATTGAGGGGATTTTTTTTGCCTGAGTAACCTCCACAGGTTCTGTTGAGAGTTTTATGTTCTCTGTGGATGTTATATGTTTTATTTTTCTTAATCTAAGTCAATAACACTAATAGGCTGCAGCCTCTGAGAAAGTGTCTGGGGTAGACTGGGTAGCACTCCTAGTTCTTGCCAATGTAAAGAGCTTGATTTAGTGCCATAGCTTTTCTAGGACAGGAGTTTTTAATCCAGCTTTGTTTCTTAGAAGGCCTAAAGACCTTTCAGCTGCTCCTGTTGATTCCTGAGGCTTTTGATGTAAGGCTGTATTAGCATTAACCTATTATTCAGGTTTTCCTGTGCTTAGATACCTTCTCTTTATTGTTAAGGAGAGAAGAAAACAGCCTGTGGGGAAGAATGGACTACATGGTAGTATTTTGGTTCTCTGAGGAGTCCTCCTCAGCTCTAACAGTTTAAATGAGATCACCCTGATGTGCTCCATCTTCTTCCCATGAAAATACTCTTAAGAGTAGTGTGGGAGGTGAGAGTAGAAAAAATAAGCTGATACTACCTTCCTTGATTTGAATTTAGCCTGAGGGTTTTACCTCTTACTTGGGTAAAAAAAATGTAAAAGGAATTTCCACTTAAGTGTTTCAGATAGATGTAATCCAACTAGGCTTGGATAAAGCTGGAGTTTTCTTTCTCCCTCTAGAAACATGTCCTCAGAAACTGGAGCACAAATCAGATAAAATTGTGGCTGTGAAGTAATCTTTTCCCAGCAGCAGCTCTGCTTTTCATGGAGCACAGATATATTCCATATAAGATAAGCAGTTCCATGGTAGGACAGCAGAGCTATACCCAGTCCACATGGGAGAACTGGAAATTTGTATGCCTGAAAATTGCTTTGAAATCTGACAAAGGGATGAAATATTGCAGTGTTGCTTTTCATATCTGCTGCTGGATGCAGCCCTGAATGGCTTAAACTCACAGTCTCCAACATGTCTTATTCTCTTCCTAGAACGGCCACAGATGGCAGATAATTCAAGATTTGTTGGGAACTGATCAAGACAATCTTGACTTGGCCAATGTCAACCTGATGCTGGAGCTGCTGGTGCAAAAGAAGAAGCAGTTGGAAGCAGTAAGAAGTTTCTCTTCTTTAAATGAAACACTGTTGTCTGTTTAGCTGCTATTCTTTTCATACCTTCATCTTCAAGTAAGATTCCATTGCTGGATGAATTGCTTAGCATTTTCTCTTGTGTTTTGGTGTTTAGCAGATGGTCATCTCACTCACCTTTCTGGTGAACCAACATGTCAGCTGTGATGCCCATAAGATGCTTAGAGTGTTGCTGCTGGCAGGGAAAATGGGAGAAGATAAGAGAAAGTGGTTCCCAGACCAGAGAAATGCATGTGAAAATGTTTGCTCATTGAATGTTGCACAAGTGAATGTCAGATCTCTCTTGGGAATAAGCATGAAGAAATGCAGAATGTGTTAAGCAATAAACTCAGTGAACATATGAAAATGATCACACCTTTTAGTTCCTGCTGGAACTGATGGAATCTGAATTACCACCTTTCCTCAAGGCTTTTTTTAGTATTTAATGCTTGAAAGAAAAGTTCAGATGGCTTGTTTTGAGCTTGGGTTGAAGATTTATGCAGTATATGAAGCAAGCTGTTGCTATGATTTGACTGAAATGTAGCTGCTTTGGGCAGTTCTCATGGATCTGGCTGTTCCATGCTCTTGGTTTCAAGTGGCATTTTCCAGTTACAAGAGCCAAACCTTGTAAATTCCACTGGATTATCACAGAATTTGGCCCAGTGAACTTTGAGTAGGGGAGTGGATTTCAATGGTGCTTGGAAACAGGTGAGGGAAAGTTGTCTTGGGAATAGCTTCACTTATTCACTCTGACAGAATCAGTATTTACACAACTTGTGGCTCTGATGGGAGGAAAGTAACCCAAAAATGTTTACTGACTAGTAGCAAGACTAGTATATTACCTTATTGCATGGGGACTTGTACATGAGTCTTTTTGTGGTGGCTCAGTGAAGGTGAGGTGGGAGTTTGGTTCCTAACTTCAGAGTAAAACCTCTTCTGTTTTCCCCTCAAGCCTTTCTGGCATTTGTGACAAAGCTGAAGCAAAGAAGGCACAGAACTGTGTGGCTGCTAAGGATGCTAAACCTAAAAACAAAACCACCCCTGACACTCAAAGAACAATTTAGAACCACTTTTCCTGTCTAGCTTTACCAGCTTCACTTTCATTATTGCCACAGGGATGGAGAGGAAGAAAATAATCCCAGAAAAGGAGTAGTCTGACATCCTAATCTCTTTGCTTGTCCTGTCCCATCTGCCTTTAATGGATTCTGTGTGCTCCTATGTCTTGATCCTTTGAGTGTGTGTTCACAGTCCTTTAATAACCAATATTTTGGTAGGTTGTGAAGATAAGTCTTGGAATGAGTAGGATAGGATCAGGGCTATGTTAATGCTGGAATAAAGGTTTTATTCTTCTTTCCTGTTGTGCTTATCATCAAGTTTTTGACCAATTTGGGTGAAGGTGTTAACGTTATGGTTGAGGTAAAGGACCTGTTACGGAAAAATTATGTAGCTTCATCAGTGACCTTATTGTTGTCTTCCACTCTGGAGAAAGCTTCAGCAGTGATGTCTTCATGAACACAAACATGAATTTTGGGGGAGGTGTGTTTTCATAGTATCATAGTATTTTAAGGGGTTGGAATGGAGCTTAGAGATGATCCAGCCCCAGCCCCACCCCCTGCCCTGGGCAGGGACACCTCCCACCAGAGCAGGTTGCTCAAGGCTTTAGCCAACCTGGCTGTGA